CCCGCGCCCCGGCCCAGAGCCTGCGGCTCTCCCGTCCATCAGCGCGTGGGCGGCTGCCGGAGCAGTTACGAGGCCGCCCTCACAGCGTTGTGCGCCTGGTCTCCTGGGGCAGCGGCGGTCAAGGCCAGTGGCCAGGAGAAGGCCGTGCGGCCACCTTGACCTTGGGGAGTTTCCAGCCGGGTTGTAGGAGCCAGCTGGGCCTTGCCTGGGGCGACACCCCAGCTTTCTGGGCTGGACCCCGGCATCAGACTCTGAGGGCTCGGGGCTCCCCGGGCGCAGGGGCTGACGCCTCAGCGTTATCAAGCTGTCTGCAGCCGCTGCGGCCTGAGGCAGTCGGCCAGGGAGGGACCCACAGGGTGCTCGGCCAGGCAGGGGGACCCCGGGGCGCAGCAGGCCTCTCCTGTCTCCCCGCTGCTCCCTCAGCAGTGGACTCAGTCACTGCCCGCTCTGCGCCCCACTCTGTGTCTGGGGAGTCCTCCCACTGCCCCCCCACCTCTGGCCTGCACCCCATCTCTGGTGTTATTAAGTAAGTAAATCTTAAAAAGAAAATCAAGTGAGGGCCCAACCCGGATGGAGACAGCTTTGCTCTGCGGCTGACCCGACAGTCACACGTCTGCCCTGAGATGTGGCCGCGCAGCGCCCGGAGCCTGGTGGCCGGCTGAGTCTGCCTGCCGCACCCACCTGCGGGACCCGGCCCAGGGTGCTGCAGCGGGGGGCTGTGGGCCCCTGCACCCCGCCATGGTGGGGCCTGGGCTGCCTACCAGGTGGGTGGACTGGCCCCAGCTCCGGGCCTTCCTCCGCCTCTGCCCCTGGGAGAAGCTGGGGCCGGGGCTGTTGAGAGCCCCCCAAACCCCCCGCCAGCGCCAGCTGCTCGTCAAAGGTCGGGTGGGCCGGGGGCGGCGCCGGGCTCCCCACCAACCAGGAGGCGCCTCCAGCCCGGCCCCTCTGGTGTCCTGCCCGTGGCCAAGCCCCGGCGGCCAGTGGCTATCACTCGGCGAGGGCGTGGGGCCTGGTGGGCAGGCCCCCGGTGGTGCCCCGGGGAGGCCGGCTGTGAGGGCTCCAGGGAGAAGGGCCAGCAGTTCTGGGGCACCCCCCGCCCCCCAGTGTTCATGCACATGCCGTGGCTCACTCTCTGGGTCCCAGGAATGGGGTCCCCTGATGCCAATTCATCTCCGCTTTGCAGATAAGGGAGCGAAAGGCGAGCCCGGCCCAGGCCTGCGCTGGGTGGACGCTGCTCCTCAGGGCAGCTACCGCCAGGTAGCCAGGCAGCAATGCCCGCAGTCCCGCTCCTGGGGTCACCTGGCAGCTACACCCAGGCGCTGGCAAGGCCCATGCCCGAGGCCACCAGTGCCCAGGCCTGCCAAGGGACGGGCAGAGCCACAGCCCGCCGGCGCAGGGCGGCCGGGTCATGTCCAGGCAGCTTTGGCTGTGGCAGTGCGGGGTGGCGGCAGCCCAGCCTGGCCGCAGCGGCCTCCACACAGCCTGGCCCTGGGGCCCAGTGCCCACAGGAACTGGCATGCTGTCCACACTGCAGGTCACCGAAAGGCCTGGGTGAGGTCAGCTGGAGTGCCTGTCCCTTAGGGACTGGCACTGCAGAGGGGTGAGCTGAGGGGGCGACTGGGGGGAGCCGCCCGACGGACAGGCGGGGCCCCCTCTCCCAGCAGGTGGGGTGGGGCTGAGGGCGGGCTCAGCAGGCCGGGGGCGGGGACGGGCCCCCTCCTGCTGAGCTCCTGCAGGGTCTCTGGTGGGGGCAAGGCCTTCCGTGACGGACTGAGCAGGTCACCTCCTCCGTTCCTGCAGGGACTCGCCCAGGGTCCCCGATCTGTGGCGGGAGCTGGACAGCGGTTGGGTTTCACCTTCGGAGCAGTCAAGACCTTGGGTCTGCCGGGGAAGGGGGTGCCCTGGGCTGGCGATGCAGGAAGCTGCCCAGGTCTGCTGGCCCTGCTACTCTCCCAGGCTGCCGGGGAGTCTGTGCTGGACGCTGCTGCCCGCCGAGCAGAGCGGCCCCCGGGGCTGCTGCCCGGGTGGTACTACGGCCCTGAGCCCTCGGAACAATCCAGAACACTTGTGCCGCGGTGGGTGGGGCCAGGCTCCTCACCACCGCGGACACCTGGCCACTCCTGCACTCGGGCAGCCTTTTGGGGCCGACCCACTGGGCCGCGGAGGGACAGGTGCGTCTCCCTCCACCTCTCTGCTGCCGTCTGGCCTCTGGGAACCGCCCTGACACTGGGAGTGAGGGCAGCTACCCCACGGGTCCATCTCAGCTGGGCAGAGGGGCTCCTGGGCCCGTCCCTCAACTGTGAAATGAAGGCCGGAGACTGGGTGTCGCCCCCAAACCCGCTTGGGGCCAGGCCTGGGGCCGGGGGCTCTGTGCAGCTGAGGGGGCCAGCCTGGGTCGCCTCAGGGCGCTGGACGGGTGACCCCCCGCCACGTGGTTTGCAAAGACGCCGAGCAAAGGGGTCGCTGGACCCAGGAGAGTCACCCCAAGCACCCCCCAAACTCTTCCACGTCGTCGTGACCCCGAGGGTGGCTCCGGCTCACACGTGCACGGACCAGCCGGGCCCGGAAGGGAAAAGGGCTGCGGGCGGGGCCGGGCCGAGGGACAGGCCTGCGCTCACCCCGCGGGGACCCCAACCCAGAGCCGATGTCCTGCCCCGCCGCGAGCCTGGACCCTGCGCCGGAGGGACGGCCGCGGTTTCCCTCCCCGCGGCAGTGAAGCGCCAGGCTGGCGCCAGGAAAACAGACAAAACCAAACACATTGTCACGAGTTTTTTAAGGTACAAAATGTAAGCACGAGGCTTCCGGTCACCTGTCCCCCCCACCCCAGGCCCATCCCCACCAGCCCCCGCCAGCTCCCTTCGTGCCGGCACCCCGCTGTCTCTGTGAGCACCCGCTGCTCTGGGGTGCCCCCCCCGCGGGGCACCCTGACTGCGCCAAGCCCTCGCAGGCGGCACTGGGAGGCAGAGGGCGAGGGCCAGACCCAGGCCCCTGCGGGGGACGCGCACTACTGGAAGAGGCGGGGACCCTCCAGGTCTTCGGGCCAAAGTTCAGGGCCACCACTGAGCCGCAGGCCCGGGCCCTGGGGCGGGCTGTGGTCGCCCAGCGGGAAGGCAGGCGCAGGGCACCGGTCGCCGGGGCCGAGGATCACCGGGGCGCAGGGGCCCCAGCAGCCCCACTGCGGCTGCGGCTCGGGCCTCCCGCAGGCTGGGCCGTCTGGCAGGAGGCAGGGCTCCGGAGACGCGGGGATCCCCTGCAAGGGGAACCAGGCGGCAGTGAGTGGCGCGGCGAGGTCTGGGGCGCCACCTCCCGGCTGCAGCTCCCACCCCGCCCGGCCAGCCCTGGGCTCGCAGGCTGCCCAGACACACGCTGCCCTCCGGGCTGGGCTGGCCAGGCCTGGGCGACATGGGCATTGTCCATTCGCTCTCTGCGCAGCCAGGACTCAGCCGGGCCTCTGAAAGGAGCCGGAGACAGGCAGGCCGCAAGCTGCAGCCCCTTTGCTCCGACAGACGCAGGGCGCACCCAGCCCCTCTCAACAGAGCAGATGTCCTGACAGTGGCCCTGCTGTCCCCCCCCGCCCCAGCCCCCAAGACCCCGCTGGCGGGATGGAGCTGCCAGGTGGTGGCCGCCGCCCTCCAGGGCCCCCCCTTCCAGCCCCAGCTTCTCTGCACCAGCCAGAGAGGGCGAGAGACCCGGCCCGCCACACTGGACGTCCCACCACTCGGTTTCCGCAGCAGCCTGGGGATTCCCGTACCTGGTACTGGGCAGCCAGGTCCAGGGGCCCGGGGGGCGGAGTCCAGGGCGTGGCCTGACCCCCGAGCTCTGGGGGTGTCTGCGTCCCTGGGCAGACTTGGGGCGGCGTCCAGAGCACCACGTCGTCGGAGGCTCTCTCTTGCGCCAGATGCTGAGGCGACTGCCTCCCGGGGCCGTGGGGGGGTGCCCCCCAGGAACCCACTTCGGGGATCCTGTCCCCCAGGCTTCCCGGCGGCGGGGACGCCCAGGGGCGCGGGGCCCCCCAGGCGGGCGC